TCTTTCCCTCGTGGTTCACTACTGCTAATTAATGACTGAACCTCGCAGTGGAGGTGGCTGTGGTGCAACTGTGCCCACTTGATGTCGAGTTGCTGAACCAGTCATTCCCAGCCTGTTTTATGTTGCCCTTTCCTTACAACGGCTTGGCATATAAACCTTCCTTTCATGTCCAGTTGGAGTACACAGAGCCTTGAATGCCTGTGGCCAAACCTGATTTTTTTCCATTTTTTTTCCTTCTTGTCTTTTCCAGGCATTTTATCCCATTTTTATTTGTCATTTCTTATCTACTTTTACTAACCCCGCCCTTCCAAGGAAAGCCAGACGGGGTGTCTGCCATCGGGCTGTATGAGCCACATTGCCACGGCAGGTTTGAGAGCCAGGGGAGCAGAGAAGACGTTGCAGTTGTGGACAACAGAGCTGCTTTCACAGAAAGTGGCTCACATGGCTTTGTGAGGGGTCTTGTCTGAGAAAGGAGAGGCAATATGGGAGGAATAAATGCAGCAAGTGGGTACTACCTGGAAATGAAAAGTAAAATAAATTACTGGGGGCTTTTAAACAACTGTCCACAACTTATGTGGAAAAAACACCGTAGCTGTGGTGGTCTTTAAGGTGCAAAATACATGCCCAGCATGGTATCCTGACTGGAGTACTGTAAATGATGCATGATCTGAAAATTAACTCCCTCTGTTGTTGATTTTTTTCTTTAAGTTGGATATTTATACTTACAACTCCTATTCAAATTAAACTTGCAAGTGCAGGGTACAGAGATATTGTGGAAACAGGGCGTGATGGCTTTCAAAAGAAAAGGTTCCTGCAAATTTAATTTTAATACAACTCATATTTGATTGAGCAACTAGCCATTCTAAATTCAGCTGAGTCTGTTGAGCCTTTTTACAAGCCCCAGCTCAGACTTGGCTAGTTCCCACTTGGGCAACGCATGGCTTTTCTGGTTAACAGTTCACTTAATGTCATCATAGTTTTTCCTCCTGGTTATTTCTGCAAAAACATGTAGGTAGTTTTAACAGGCATACTATATAGACAAATTACTGTAGACCTATGAACGAGAATCTTGCAACAGGTTCTCATCTACCCTTTTCAACACACCTTAGTGATGCCTTCAAATTTTTAATGTGACTTATTTTGTCATTTGACCCTGATTTTGATTGTCTCATCAGTTGCACTATGATAAGAAATTACACAGAGGTACACATGCGCACACATAAGGATTAATACAAGAAGAAAAACATTTTATATTAATGTTACTGTGTTGGGGCCGAAGATCCTGATTACTGACCAGTTAACATGAAATATTTCAGGTTGAAAATATTTTCTTTATAATAATACCTGTGGCTTCTCAAATGTTTCTTCTGTTAAGCTCAAAACCCCACAGCTCTTAACAGATTTATTTTATGCACTGGCATTAACAAATTTTAATAGAAAAACTGAAACACATACCTCATATCACAGTGGTAAAAATTTATACATCTTATAAAGGAATTTAATTTCCTTATGTAGAGCAGAATTTTAAGCATTGCTTTTAATCAATAAAATTGGTGCAGTTCTTATTTTAAATGGGCCTCTTTTCTATTTTTTTTTTAAAGCTGCCTTTTACATAGAATCCAAAAAAATCAAAAGGGTCTCCAATTAAGAAAACATTTTCTGTTGTGCCGAATTCATGTTACCGTACTGTGAGCTCTGACATTTTGTTTCTGTGGTAACCAAAATCAGCTGATTAGTTGGCATGGCAACAGAAAAGATGTAATCCCAGCAGACACACTCTAATCAATGCCCCCAGCACAGATGGTCTCCGGAGGATCAACAAGAAAGAGGCTGGCAGGCATTCAGTATATCACGTGGTTGCTCTAGACTAGGCCAGGAAAAAACTAAAAAAGAACATTTCTCAAACTAACCAATAGCTTTTTAACCCCTTCACTGCACTTATTAACTGTAGGAATTTCAACTGCTCGCACCTATGAAAACCAACTTTGGTGCTGTGCCTTATCGCTCAGAGTCTCGCTCTCCTAACACCAGGCATCTTTCACAACTCTTCCTCTTTTATTAACGACCGTTTCTCAAACCTGACTCTGTGCTTGAAAAGAAACCTAAAGCTTATACAAATCGGGGAAATGCCTGAGATTGTTAGTAAGGATTAAAATCACTGAGTTTCAAGGGCTTCACCTATAAAATCCAGCTGATGGCCCCACTGTTGGGCGCAGGAAGAGAACGGTTCGAACACGGGGTGCTCACTGCTCCAGTGGTGAAGGCAAAGCTTGCCTCTGCCTATCTATCGGGAAATATAAATACACATCGCTAACTGCAGAAAAACAGTTTGCCTACGCATAAAGTTGGAGTGTCAGTAAACACGGTGAAAACAGAGACTTAGGAGGACTCCTAAAGCTTTCCTTTGCCTGGAGGAAAAAATGAAGCATCTGCCAGGTAAACAAACATGGCTTCAGTCTCTTCTTTTACCACATTTAATTCATGCCATTGAACCGTATTGAATTCTTCATAGTATTTATTTATACCTTGATAAAACAATTTTAAAGTGTGTGACACTTTACAAGGACCTCTTGCCCTCTAAAGACAAGCTAGACTATTCATACTGTTACTCTTAGGCATGTTCTAGCCATATTTGTTTGAAAAAAACCTGGAAATGCAATTTTATATATTCGTCCAATACTGCAGTATGCAGTGAGTTGCTCTAACTAGGAAAATGTGGAAATGAATAAAATGCAGCTGTGGATTCCTGATTCAATACGTGTTGAGAACTGTTTCAGCCCATTATATTACAAGTTAGTGAATTTGTAGCTTACAAGTTGTGAAACTGAAACAGCTATTAACAAATATAGGTAGTTTGTATTTTTGCATTAAAAAAACCCTTCGTGGTAATTTCACTGAGTCAAATTCAGACATGATTTAAGGAGCTACGCAGTCCGCTGGAGTGCTGCTTATTATGGGAGGTCTGCTTTGCTCCACCACTGATGCTGTGAGAGTTGGGAGTTTACCTTTGGGTACAAGATCTGTGCCCTCAGTATCTCTGCTAGAAGTTACACACGCACACCTGAGACAATATTTGGCTCTAACTTATTTCTGAGAGCAATATATTCTTTCCTCCCTTATTCCCCCAGCTACTGTGTTTTATTTCAAATTTGCTCTTACTAACGCAGTCATATTTTAAACATACAGCCATTAAAATAAAAACCCCTAATTTTTCTCCTAGAATCCAAATCACATCCCCACCTGAACTTTTCTACCGGGATACAGAGGTTTGTATTGGAATCCGCAACGGACACGTCCGGGCTGGAGCGGGCCGTGCGCTGCCAGGGCTGCAGTGCCTGCGGAGGGAGGGTCTCACCGCGCACGCGGGACGGTGCCATGGGAGGCGGCTGTGGGCCCCCTCCCACGGGGCGTGCGCCCAGCCCGGGCCCTGCTGCTAGTCTGTCTTTGACTTGCTGGACACTAGTCTCCTTTCCAAAGTAACAACACTGTAATGTGCCGTTATGATAAGTAAAATAATTGAATCAAGAAAAGCGCGTTTTGTTTACTGATTGAAAACCCCCACCTTTTATTTGCTATTGCATCGAAGCTAACACAAAGGGAAATGGCAGAAATTGTTTTAGGGAGCTAGGCGAAGAAGCAGCTACTGTAAACACTCATCACGTCCTCTGCACAGGGCCAGCACTCACAGCTCCTCGTGGCCAAGAGATGCGACCTAGGAATATCTGCTCTCTTTGCTTCTCTCTCCATTTGTGTCTATGTAAGTCACAGGGGGCTGGGGTGGGAGAGCTGGAATGACGACACCATGAAACGCACACCTCCAGCTCACCAGTGCTCCACACACCAGCGGCCTCCTCTCCCTCTTCTTTGAACCCCACTCCAAGAGCCATGAAGATGTTGGGGAAGACACTACAAAGGGATGGGTCTCACATACGTACTAAACCAGCATAAGCCATGTGGGCCCTGGTCATAATGCTGCCAACAGCTGGTGTCTTTTTTGACTCTAAAACCTCCACAGTCCGGCAGGCCAAGGGCAACACGGATGGGTTATCTCCTCTTGCTGCCCCTTCTCCTTTCATGCTTTTCACCATGCAAAGGTTGAAATTCATACAGATGAACAGGTACAAGATGGAAAATCATAATTTCCTGTTAATTTACGAAAGGGTACATTTCCATTTTGAAAATGAGTTTACTGATTTTTTTAATATAAAAAAATCTTTGTTTTAATTTGCATTTTCCACCTTTTTGGTACTGTTTTTATAAATAACTGGCACTCAGTTTAATTACAGGACTAGAAGTGGCCAATGCATGAAGATAATTCACTACCAATTACAAATATTGAATATTCACTAACTGCCTGATCCAGAGCAGTTTAAATCAATTGACTCCTTCCATTGACTTCATTGCCCTTTGGACTGGCATCCTGCTGTATTAAATCACTATTTTCCGAGAGATTTATAGTCCTTGGACTGGGTAAGTATTAATGGTAAAGCATACCATCCCAAATGGTAGGTACCAGCAATGTGAAAGCTCATTGTTGCTTTAAAATCAAGCCCAGAGAAAAGGAGATGGGCAGGTTGAATTTAATTCACATACAGTTGATGGTTCTAGCAACCTGGCATTATGTGCTTCTCTTGCAATCTTTCCGGGAGGATTGCAGAGGATGCCCACAGAATTTTCCAGTCACGTAATGAATATAGAAAATAGTAATTAAATGGCTTCAAGGGTTTTCAGTATTAGAAATAATCTCAGTCTACCAGAAAAATGCAACAGCCAATATTTTTCACCCTTATACACACTAAAAAAGAAAAAAAAAAAAAGCCAAACAAACAAAAAAAAACCAAACCAACAACATGCTTTATTGAGTCTTCCCTGTTACCTTGGTAAACATGGGTTTTCCATGCTGAGTGACCATGGTGCATTGATCACAGTCCACTGTGATGGATGAGTTGTGGTATGACTCTTTTGAGTGCTTGAGAATGTAATACAGGTCTGTTACACCTCCTTCAAAGACAGTGCTAAAATAACGAGGAATGAGGGTCCTTCCAATTGCTGTGAGGAAAATACAAAGCAGAATTCAGCAAATGCTCTAGGTTATAAAATCTCAAACCATTTGCTAACAGAACATGAATAATTTTAAGCGCAATGAAATCAAACTTTCATTTAATGAATATAATACATGTTCTCTGCTGTAGAAATGAAGTTGTGCCTGCTCCCATTGAAATCAATGAAAATGGCTTACACCATTCAGAGGGAGTGGGCTCATCTTATTTAATCTTTTTACATTGATGGCGAGTTAGAGTCACTCTTGAAACCATCTGCAAGGTTTTTTGAACCAAAGTAATTATTATACAGAAAGCCACATGGCGTCAATTATGACTGGAAGTTGGATATTACTCATAAATGTATCAATACAAGTGGTGAGCATTTACAGAAATATACTTATACACCCAAAAAGGCAAAGCACATTTATATAGGGAGGTTGTGTACACATATATGTTTGTCTGTGTGTACATGTATATTTATATATACCCACCCACACATACACACACATGCCCACACACTCTTAATTGAATAGGAGGGCTACTGCTGAGAAATCAGAGTCCTGGGGACTGAAGAAGGACCTGAGAATGCAATAGGATATATGTTACACAATACAAGACTACCCACAGGTCTATCTGAGATCTCTCCTTAGACCAGAAGTACTTACGTCATAGGCTAGAAAGTCTGAGCATACACTTGAACTAGCTTATATGCACCACGTAAACCCCAAACTATGGACTCAAGGTAGACAATTCTGCAATACTCGGCCAAAACTCTCACTGAAGTCACACTTCTCACTTCAATAGCAGTTTCAGGTAAGTATTACAAAGTCTAATTCCAAATACCTAATAGTAATAGAGAGCTTCTGGGTGTATTTCAGATGCACAAACTAGCAGAAGCACTGACATCAAAGGCAATTATCTGGTATGCAACCAATGTTTTCCATCTCCTTTTTTACAGATAAATTCAGATGCAACCACAAGCCTGGTAAGACAGAACACTTCAGTTTATAATAGACCGATACTTCCATACCAAATGACTGATTGCTTTGCATGCATTAATCAATCCACAGTAATTCTGAGTGGTGGATACATAAAAATTGCCTTCATTTTACAGAGGGAAAAAACCAAGCGATCTAAACTGTGTTTTGGAAGAATGAGACAGAAAAGTCCCCATCAACAGGCAAGATTAGAGTTTATTAGTTCCTAATTCTTACTTGTCTATTAGGACTATGTGGTGACTCATGCCTCCCTCATTTACTTTTGAGAGTAATTTCTAAAAAAATTATTTTGCCAGCACACGAACAAAGGCTCCTGACCCTAAAAATGTATTTGCAAGTGGGTGTTGTAAATTAAAAAATATGGCATTTTCACAGTAGTTCTGTGAAAACTGTTTCTGCTCTGTGCATTACAATGTGGAATATTGCATATGCAGTCATAATGCACATTACATAATGAAAATATACAAATACAGAAAATTAGGACTTGTTAAAGCTTGTGCTGTAATATTAGATACTAATGTAATTTAATGTACAAAAATACACCACACTTTCTGGAAGTGGCTGACAATTCAATGAATATGTTGAACAACTATCCTACGACTCTAGCTCCTAAAAAAACCCACCCACTCACCATGCATATATTAATTTTCTACAGTCTTTTAATTTAATTTGGAAAAACTGAAGTCCAGTGTATCAGCATAGGACTCAACTCAGGCTTTAACTCAATTTTTTCCATGTTGGTATGGTATATAGTAAAACATGAAATTTACCCATCAAGTTAATTTCTTACTCCCCTAAGGCTAATTAGTGCAAATTAAATTTCCTGCTAATCATCCTAAGCAGTGAATGTGTGATATGAAAATCCAGCATTCCTACTGATTGTGATAAACCTCTATTCATGTGATTTATGCACCACATAAATATCTTGAAACTATTTTAACTGCAGTTTATAGACCGTTCCCAAAGTAGCATGGTCATATGGTGTTGCTTTTCCCCTTGTATTCACAGCTACAACACATTAAAGAAGGCTAGAAATACATTAAATACCTTATATTTATCGCTTTTCCTAGTAAGCATTATCTATGTTTGCCACAGGGATACGCTACTGTGACCAACAAAGTGGGGCACCAAAAGGATGAAGAGGTGCGCACAAGGATATGCCCAATGGAACCTGATTTTCAATGACACATGCACATGCAGAACCTGTCTGTCTGTGAAACTGAAAATAGCTAATGCAAATGTCCAGCATAAATGACTATAGCTAATATTCACCTCCAGAAGAAACATTCATGGAAACCCGTATTAATAAGCAGACCTGTTCTTGGCTCACCATGCTGCCTTGCCGCAGAAGACTGAAGAGGTTTCAAGGGTTTGGTTCTCTTCCTGAAGGACTCAGTCACTTAAAAAGATCATTTCATTTCTAGGATAAACATGAAACTCTCTACAGTGGTAACAAAGTCTATTTGTGCGGGAGATGGTATTTCCAAGAACAACAAAAAGCTGTGGAACAGCTCGTATAAAGTCTAGGGATCATGATAAACTTTGTGCATTTTAAGTGTGAAGGACCTTTCCTTCATTTTTTCTCCTCCAAAACATAATTGTGTATATGAGCATTCAAGCACATGGGTGTGCACACCCTCAGCTCTGCTGCATGCATACATGACAACACTTTCCTGGGCATAGGACTATGAACATGGCAAACATGCTTTTCCTTCCCTTCTTGCAGTAGATGGATATGCTCAGCGTACATACTCCACCCGTGTCTGCCACTGTACATCTCAGCAGGATTTTAGCAACACCATATACCTTCTGCCAGAGTCAGCCAAAGGCTACTTCCTAGGAGGACCCCAAGTAATGTGAAGGCAGGATTGTGGAACAACTTGATACCTGTGGCCACTTCAGGATGTAGTTTAGCCATCCTTGCATCAGAAATGTGAACTCACAGTTTGCAGAGCACAGAGCAAGCCGTACGCTAGCTTAGTCTTCAGTTCGCAGCTCCCCAGAGGCAGTCACAGACAACAAGCAAGTATGGCCTAAATAGCATATGGTGCTTAGGACACCAACAGGGCTGAACGAAGCCTGATATGCTACTGCCATTGGAATTTCTTCATGTTTTAGAGCTTGGCTTTTAGTCCACCAAATACACTTTTATGAATGTACCTCTGTGCGTGGTTTTGTAGCGCTCCTCCCTCCCACACCATACTTCCCCAAAGGAGCATCATATGGACACCCTCAGAGCCAGCGCACCGATCTTTGCCACAGGAGCTCTGAGAGTGAGCATTTGCAGTAGCAGTTTCAGTATGGGGAGACTCTTGTAATTTCCTTTCCTGGTGTCAGAGCCCTGAGAGCACCCTGAGAACACCCTGCTCCAGGGTTGGGCTGCCAGGCAGATTTTCTTTCCAGCTTCTAGGGGCGGAATCCTTGCCCAGCTACGTCAGGGCTTTCTGCCTACATCCTCATGGAGTTCCCTGAAACTGGATCTCCTTCCAGTCCTGTCTCCTATCCAACTGTTGCTCTTTATTCTTTCTCCAATCTCTCTGCTCACCTACCCGCCATGGTCCACTCCTCTGTTTTCTCACCTTATGGTTGGTTGCCTTGCATTAGTTATCTTCCACGTTCACCATTCAACTCCCAGCATCTCCCTGTCTTCTCTTCTCTCCCCCTCCTCGCATACTACCCCTTTTTCTCTTGCTCAGGGAGGCTCATTAACCTTTCCCTTCCCAAACACACCCAATTCCCTCATTCTCCTTACTCAAGCAGGCCCAGCTATCTAGTGTCAGTCTCCCTGTTCTCCTCCACTCTCCCCAAAACACCCGCTTCACGCCCACTTTCTCAGCGCCCTTCCTACTCAGCCAGGCTGTCCCAGGCTCCCTGCCTCACCGGTCTAAGCCCTCCTTCTGGATCTTGATTTTGTGTTTTTTTCCCTTCCTTCCTCCTTCCTTCCTTCAGCTTCTCATCCAGCCAGGGACCAGGCAAGAGGACCTTTTCCCCCTGTGCCCCGCACCCAGCCAAACATCTCCCCATTCCCCGTGTTTTTCTCATTGACTTCCAACTCTCCCTTACTCAATCATCCTCCATCTTCTCCTTTCACTTCCCAGTTACTATTTCTCTCCCCTCTCCCTCATCAATGTCATCTTGTCCTGATTTATTCCCTTCTCCTTTCTTTCCTCCTCTTCCCTCTTCTTTCCTCTACATGCAGGTCAAGTTGCTTCCTTTGCAGGGCCACCTGGACCCCAGGTGCATCCTCTGGGAGTGCAGGAGCAGGAAGGGCCTCCTGCTCTCACATGCAGCACTGTCTGAGCCTTCCCCATGGGCTTTGCAGTGGGAATGTTCCTTGAGTCTGCATAGCCCTGAGCTGCAACATGTCTAGTTACTCTTTGCAGTTGACATGTGGATAGCCCTATGACTGGGTTCCTACAGGGAGCCTTACTATGTGCCTGGGAAAGGGAGTCCTTGGAAATTTTAGCTGTCAAACTCTAGTAAGGCCTGCACTGAGTACTTGAGAATAGGTGGGTTTTTTCCCCAAAGATTTATAAATTTGCTGAATTCAGTCAGATTTCCACAAAGAGGACAACAGGGAAACCCCTGCTGCAAAGGTGAGCAATCCTACTCCAGAGCATATAGATTCTAGGGAATTTAAAAACCAAAGTTGTAAGACTTTTGTAACATGGACAAAACAATATTTTTCCATTTAGGGGAAAAAAGAAATCCTTTTTGTCCTAAATAAAAAAGAACTAGTTAAAAGCAAAAACAATTTCAGCTTTATTGGGTCAAGTTTGGCAAAATTATAAATAAATAGAAAGAAGGCCTTTTAATGGGACTTATCAAACGATATTAATAAGAGATGCTATATCATCTGCCTGCAAGAATATATTGGAATAGCCATGACTGCAGATGCTGAGGCTCCGAGCCCAATACTTAGGCTTAGGAAAGTAGATGTAGGTTCATACCTGCATCTATACAAATACTAACAAGCCCTTACAGCCACATTACCCAGAAAAGACCTTTTTATAGTGTGAAGTGTGACACTCTGCACTGTAAGATACTGGATGTACCAGAAGGAAAATTCACCTGCCCTTCAGCATTCAGGCATTAATTCCAGATCACTGGAATGCTGCTTTAAATTATCATTTTGTCCTGGGCAGCATCCTTCATCCCTAGCTGAGTATGGGAGGATGTACTATTTCCCATGAGAAGCAGGCACCGCCCCTTAATGTTTGCTTCATTTGTGCTAGCAAATCCCCAGATAGCAAAGCAAACTGACAAAGATCAGCTGGATTTAGCAACAGGTAATAGTTATTTATATGAAAATGTCTATAAGAAAGACATATCTGAAGTGACTATTTTGCACAAAATATAGTGCTGTCACCCACTGGAATGACATACCTTTAGCCTATTCAGTGGTGTAACAGCTTGGCTACATGTGATTTTGTGTACCTGTCCCGTGGATCAGAGACCTAAATACAATTTTAGAATTGAAGTAAGACAGGTAGATTTGTGACATGTCCCCAAGTATGAGCAGTCCAGAAATCAATTAATTCAATGTATGAACATAGGCAAGAAGCTTAATAGGTCAGTAACAGTTATATTGTATGTAATTTCTTAAGTATCACTCCTGGGGAATTCTAAAGAAAAGAATGAAACCATCTGACATATTAAATGGCCCAAGGCCTGCCTCTTGGGGAGGGAGACACTTAGGTCACGCTCCTGATTTTTGGCCTGGGCATGCAATGATAATGATTAGGGTGCCCCTCTGTCATCTCGATCCTAGCAATCATTATTTTCATGCTGTCCTTTCATTTATTTCCCCTTTTAAATATGTTTGCCTGAGTGTAAAATACTTTATTCTCTCAGGAATATGTTTAAGTCTAAAATTATTTTTCCATCCCAAATTGAGCCAAAAAGTCCAACAATGTCTAGGTGGGAATGGCCATAATTTGTGAATGTCAGGGTTTCTGTAAGCCTCAGACCTAGCTATGGGCAGAAAGCCAGTTAAAAAAAGTTTGTAATATAATTGTGGTACCACCACACACCATGTGGTGGTGATGGTACTGTTGGCTTTTTTTTTCCTCCAAGGAAGATTTGAATAAAATAGAAAGTAAACATGTTTTTCTAGTTCACAGGAAACTGGTATTATTTGTGGGCTAGGAATAGAAGAACACTTCCTCCCTTTGTGTCCCAAAGATAGGCTGTCGAAATCTCAATGCCCTCTCTACAGAATGAAGGTTCACAGCCTCTTTGCAGAAGCAGGGCTTGATAGCAAACCCCTCCTTGCTCACTGAACTGCTCATGTGTTGCCTTTACAGTAGAAGCTCTCAGGGGCAGAGACTTGGATTTAGCATATACATATACACCATGTAAGATAACTGCCAAGTTGGTATAGTAGTGAAACAATGGAAGTGTTAATCAGTGAAATAAAAATATTTGGTTTATTGCTTCCAGGCTGGGTTTTGCAGCTCTGAATCCTGTCAAGTCCTATGTCTTCAATTAGAGCTAGGATATAATATAAGCAATAAAACAGACACAAATATAAAAACATAAAATATAAAAAGCCTTTAAAAGTTCCACAGAATCAGCAACAGAATGAAAAAAACCCCACCCTGTGCCTATAGCTTAAAGGAGCTCTGTCTGGAAGGTCTGGGGCAGCCTGCAGCTGATTATCTCATCAACATGCTATAGATGGGCTTGTGGAACTCCACTGGTTGGGGCTGTGGGTTTTTTTGGCTCCCAACACAAAATGTTGAGCTGTCCTGTAAAGCGCTAGGCAGACCACGAAAGTCTCTTGCTTGAGAGATTATCACAGCTGGATCTCAGTAATTAAATGGGGATGCTACAACTAACACTCCCTCATCCAGATGTGAGGGCTAGGGAACCCAGGAGAAGGCTTCCCATTGATTGCAAATGAGCTTTCCCAAGCACCGCAGAAGAAAGCCTGAGCTTTCTGTTAATTGTTAATTGACATCTCTGGGTATGGCTAATTGACATCTGTGTGGGCCAGAGCTTGGCGTGTTCATTTACGTATGTTTTTTTAACTGAAATAAACAAATCGGTACACAAAAAGCAAAACTTCACGGAGTTACATAGTGGTGTCATTGCTGTTATTCTGCCTACAGTTCTATTTGCTCAGATTCATCCCAGTGAAATAGCACCTCAGGTGTGTTCCCTCCCAGATGCAGTCCATCTGGCTGGGATGTGGAGGGAGGGATCCCTCCATGAAGCTGGACAACAGTAAAGCTCCGGTTTTCAGTGCTGTGACCTGCTTTCTGGAAGAGCTGTAAGGCAGGCTGGTCGTGGGAATGCCCCGCCACCTTTATGAGACCTTATCTGGTGAGTGGATTCAAACCCAAACAGCATGAATCTGTCAATTCCCAGGAAAAGCTACTGTTAGATTTGATAGTATGGCATGAAAGGCAGTGAAAAGACAGTCTAATAAGTCCAAATTCTGTCTCAGAGACATGTGGGCCTTGTTGACTAAACCACCCACATGTGTCCAAGGCAGAATCTGGCACACACAGACCTGTCCTTTTTTTCTCCCTATCTAGTAAGTAAGATTGGGTTCCTATAATTTAGATTACTTACAGAGTAAAAATTGTAATATATGATTAATTTCCACTTACACGAAATGTCTAGTTATTTATACAAATTAAATATTAAGTAAAATTAAATGTATGTTTTAAAATCTATTACAACAGCAGTAGTAATAATATACTACAATATACTAATATACTATTAATAATAGTATACTAGTAATATACTGTATTTAAACATTCAGAAAACATCCGTGTAATCTACAGACATTACAGACTTTAAACTCATGAAGTTCGGAAGACAGTGGAAGTACTACTTCCATATTGCTAATAAAGCACAGCTTTTTGAGAAGTAAAATTAGCCCTATGTACATTCTTCCCATGTCCTTGCAATTTTGTCCTTATCTTTAATGATCTACTTAGCACTTCATAGAAATTGGGGAAATCTAAGGTTTCCAACCATTTTGCCTTTGTTCTCAACTTTGTAACAAAACTGCAAAGTGGGATGAGTAACATGGATTCCACACTGTGACTAACTTGAATCCTTCCCACATCCAGAACCCAATGTTTTGGGGTGTTTTTGTTTTGATCCATGATACTCTCATGGTATCTGCAATATCTTATTTATTTTATGTCAATAATATTTCCTACAGTTAAAAGCTATAACCTGAAATACTACACTGTATAGCTTATAAAAGTGTAAAAGTCTAGGTTTCCCTCTCCCGTTCCTTCTATCCTCTGTAATTCAAACACTGTGTTAGGTTTGACTCTGCCTTTTCTACAATAATTATTTTCTAACATTTTACCCCAGTGAGGATTTGCCTGTATAATTTTGATTCAGCTGACAGTGTATTTCCTTTTCTCAAAAGTCTGTAACTAGCACTTCAATCCTCTAAAACACACTCAAGAGTCAAGAACAAGTAACAGAAACTTCATGACAATGAGACCTCAGCTTAACTCCCCACACCTTATGACCCTTATTCTCATAGACGCATAATCTGCAACTCAGTCTTAAATCCATCATCTCTC